ATTTCATTTTATTTACAAATATGAAAGAGTGTGAATAAATTTCCAAAGAAATCTTCAAACAATGCTATGATTTTGAAAAAAAAGCAAACAGCTAATACTAACATTCTTTTATTGCTCAGTTATATATCACCGGATATTGCTAATTAACGGATGAGCTTGATATCAATAATCTTTGTCAGTATTTTATTTTATTGCTTCTTCAATCATAATAAAGTTCTACAGTTTTTTATCCCTGTTCAGAATCGGACAAGCTAAAACTGCAATCGGACAAGTAATATATGTTGACAACTTGTTCGATGGAAAAGAAGTCCATGTATATCAGTCTGTTTCATTTCGTGAGAAATTTTATGCAAACCGTGGTACATATCAATTCATTGAAATCTATCAGCCACATAAGAATTTCTTTTCTCAGATTTGGCTTTCTAAACTTTTAGAAAAAAAAAAGACTTTTTATTAGATTTGAATGATGTTTGTCACAGAAACGAAATTTGAAAGAGACAGATCTAGAAAAATAAAATGTTTGCACATTTAAGATATTTATTTATTTATGACGAATTAAAACTAAGTTTTAGTATGCATTTTTCTTTCATGAATAGATTATTTTTTTTTTAATTATTTTTGATTCAGAATATGTCATTTTTTGGTTGAAATCTATCCATACTTACTGCGACGATGACACCCCAGTTGTTACCATAGCGACTCATTCTGATGAAGTGCAAGATATGGTACCTGTTTATGATAAGACCTTATGTAATAAAATAACCTAAAAACAATGCTTTTGTTTAAGTTAAACATTAGCCCATATCAAATTTGTTTTCTTCTCATAATTAGTAATCAATGTGTTAACATAGTCATTTGATCTTAAGTTATTGTATTAATATCATAAAGTTGCTTGTAAAGGGAATAATTAACTGAGTGGAGATATATCTTTTTTCCAAGGTTAACAGATCAATTTATGATGATTTGCTGGAGCTCCTGAAGAATGAGCCTGATCTGAAGAAACATCTTGACCGCACGCGCTGCTTTCACATTGGGTTTCCTAAGGATGATGAAGAACCTTTGGTTAAACTTACTGATGTAGTAGAATGCATCACCTCTATCGCCTCAGAAGATCGTTGGAAAGATGAAATACCAAAGGATTGGGCATATTGCGAAGTAGTCTTAAGACAAAATAAGCAAAATGAAAAAAAAAATCTTTCACTAGCAGAGTTTAAAAAGCAAGTTTCGATTAAAAAGAAAGGAGAAGAGATGGAGACATTTGATGTGCTAAAATTCTATCATGACATTGGTACAATTTTGTATTTCAACGAGGATTGTTTACAAAATAGCATCATAACAGATGTGCAATGGTTTGTAGACTGTTTCAAGTATATAATAACAGACCCAAAGCATGCCAGGGATCTTGTTGAAAATGACAACGACTGGAAACACTTTTTTGAAAGTGGTTATCTATCTAAGGAACTATTGAAGGGGATTTGGAAGAAGAAAAGAATGGACGCAAGAAAATGCAACTCTACATTAAAATACATGCAACGACTTGGTTTGCTTGCTGAAGGTCAAAACGCGCACTATGTCCCTTGCATGAACAAATTAGACTTTGAAAAGAATCTGAAAGATTATATCACAAAATTGGAACAGAAAACCTCTGTTTTAGTTTTCAATTTCCGGTTCCTGCCATATTTCTTTTATTTTCGTCTCATTGTAGCCTGTATAGTCAGCACAAAGTGGACTATTATTGAAGACAATGGACAGAAGTGTTTGTTTAAAAACATCGCTTTATTTTTGTTTGAAGAGCACATGATAGGTGTAGCTGTCACTACCTCAACAATACAGGTTCAGATATATAAACAAGGAAATAACAAGCTCAATTCAGAGATTACAATGAATATTAAACAAACGATAGAAGATGTCCTGGAGAAATTGACGAAAAACTTTCATAAGAAAACTTTGTTTGATATCGGCTATCAATGTTCAAAGCAAGACATACTTGAGGAAAATGTACTGTGCTTTATTCTGGAAAAAGATTTGGTTGGTAGAGGCGAATTCGGTTGTCCCAATCATGGGCTCAAGAATCATCACGTAATCAAAGAAAATGATCTGCTTCGCTTCTGGAGATATGGTATGGATTCCGAAAATTAGTTCAGAATGTTTTCATTAGACCTATAATTTTACGCAACAAATATCTATTGAAATATATATATATATATTTGTCTGTTAATAATTTATTAATAAATTAAACAATAAATAATTATTTAGACTCAGACCACTAGTCAAATGGTGGGCAGTCCTAATATCCCCCCCCCCAACCGGACAATACTAATAAAGCAAATGATTTGCGAGCTCTTCGACTTTCACATTTCACACGCGCCTGTGCGCGTCATATGGCTAGTTTCGGTCCCGTGTGTTTTCACAAGAACTCGCAAACCATCAAATTAAGCAATTTGACTGGCCTTCGTATTCATGTAAGTCCACATTTGCCCATACTCGAATACCTGCTGGACGACTAAGACGCTAGTGGAAAGGGGTTCAGAATACTATTTCTTATTTCGACAAACTAAAGGCTACCTTGTTTAAAACGAAAAAGATAATGCATGCACTGATGAACTCCTTGCACAGGAGAATCAGAGCTGTAACAGCCCAGGAGGCATACTATATACTAAGGAGTCAGTGGATTTCATTTTTGAGGGTACCAACAAATGTACCTCAATTACTCGTGAATTGTCGATCAGATACCCAATTAAACCTTGGTAACTTATTGATCATGTTGATTTATGATATTTTGAGAAGTTAAATGACAATATTGGAAGAAATATTTGGATAAATGCCTTTTCTTTTAAATGATACCTAGCTTTTTTTCACTACATTATATATTTGTCTTATAAAAATGGTATTTCTTTTTTTTCCCTCAAACTTGAATACCCGGTGAATTCCTTACTTATTAAAAAGAAAGTTAATGTTGCTCTCATCTTGACCTGACAATACGATTTTGTAAAATTAAAACAAGGGGCCCATGGTCCACATCGCTCACCTGAGCACATTGACTAGGCAAAAGCACAAATCAGTTCAGTATTGAAAAGATTTTTTTGGGGGGGGGGGGCTTGAATTTTAAACTACCTTCCATGTCAATTTAACAAATGGCTTTGTTGTACTTTAAAAGCTTTTTAAAAAATTTCCATATATTCCTTTGTAAAAATTTGATCCCCCATTGTGGCTCCTCCCTATCCCATGGGTCATCATTTGAACAAACTTGAATCTACACTATCTGAGGATGCTTCCATATCAATATAACTAAACATAGTTTTTCTGTTCTTGAGAAGAAAATTTTTTTTCAAAATGTTCTTATGTAAAACTTTCAATCCCCCATTGGGTCCCACCCTACCCCCCGCAAAGACGGATCCAGGACCAGCGCGCCGGGCAAGCTCCCCTGTTTGAATTTTTTTTATGTAGAACTTACATGTCCATTATCCTAAAAACAAGGAAAAACATCTCTTCTTTGTAAGAATTTGTCAGCTTCCCAGACCCCCCACCAAGGCCTTGGTCTAGACCCACTGGGGGCTTCAATGCAGCCCCAGACCCACTGCCTCTACTCCCCCCCCCCCGTTACGAAATTCCTGGATCCGCCACTGCCCCGGGGGTCATCATTTGAACAAAATTGAATTTACACTACCTGAAGATGCTTCCATATCAAAATGACTTAACATTATTTTCAGTTCTTGAGAAGAAGATATTTTCCTATATGTTCCTATGTAAAATTTTCAATCCCCCATTGGGCCCCACCCTACCCCCGGGGGTCATCGTTTGAAAAAAATGAATTTACACTACCTGAGGATGCTTCCATATCAAAATGACTTATCATGACTTTGCAGTTCTTCAGAAGAAGATTTTCCTATATATTTCTATTTAAGACTTTGATCCTCCATTGTGGCCCCACCCTACCCCCGGGGGTCATGATTTGAACAAAATAGAATCTACACTACCTGAGGATTCTTCCACATAAATATGACTAAACAGGGCTTTGCTGTTCCTGAGAAGATTTTTTAAAGGATTTTTCCTTTATATTTCAATGTAAAACTTTGGTAGTCCATTGTGGCCCCGCCCTACCCCCGGGGGTACTGATTTGAACAAACTTGAATCTACACTACCTGACGATGCTTCCATATAAATATGACTCATCATGGCTTTGCTGTTCTTGAGAAGAAGATTTTTAAAGATTTTTCCTATATATTTCTAAGTAAATCTTTGATCCTCCATTGTGGCCCCGCCCTACCCCCGGGGGTCATGATTTGAACAAACTTGAATCTACACTACCTGAGGATGCTTCCATATAAATATGACTCATCATGGCTTTGCTGTTCTTGAGAAGAAGATTTTTAAAGGTTTTTCCTATATATTTCTATGTAAAACTTTGATCCTCCATTGTGGCCCCGCCCTACCCCCGGGTGTCATGGTTTGAACAAACTTGAATCTACACTATCTGAGGATGCTTCCACATGTGTTTCATCTTTCCTGGCGCTGTGGTTCTTGAGAAAAAGATTTTTAAAAGATGCTATTTATTTTTCACCAATTCTCTACTATCTCCCCTTGAAAGAGGGCGTGACCCTTCATTTGAACAAACTTGAATTCTCTTCACCCATGGATGCTTTGTGGCAAGTTTGGTTGAAATTGGCCCAGTGGTTCTGGAGAAGAAGATGAAAATGTAAAAGTTTACAACAACGACGACGACGACGACAACGCCAAGACAGACAACGGACAAATTTCGATCAGAAAAGCTCACTTGAGCCTTCGGCTCAGGTGAGCTAAAAAATACAATTTTAAAAAATATTCAGTTTCTGAGTGTTTAAAATACTTTTTCTTTTTGGGTTAGATAAATTTTAATTAATTTTCTTGAAGTATCTAATTTTCTTCAAGTATTTAACTTCAGTTTGATATTTCGCCGAAATATGGCTGAAATATTGTCGACTCGGCGTTAAACAATAATAATCAATCAATCAATCAATTTGATGTTTAAGAAAAACAAGAGGAAATCACAGGAGCGAAAAATATCCAAGAAAAACAACAGCAAAGAAAGGAAGACTTCTCGGGTAATGTTTAGACAGAAAGATTTATAGAGATTTTACACAGTACCGAAAAGTTTATTTATGAAGAACTAATAAACTTATTTTAAATTTAGCAGGATCAAAATTCAGAAAGCCAAAGGACAACTCCCTTCTTTCCACAGAATTGAAAACTTTTTTCTCCAGAGGTTGGCAGGATAGTGTGGGCCATTTACTTTGTTGTGATTTGACAGGAACAGCATTCAGAGTCGGTGATTGGTATCTTTTGACGGCCTTTCACATAATTGAAAGCACATTGGGTAATTATTTGTATATAAATATGGACAAAACATTCGATGCACTTTATCAACAAGAAGAATATCATTATTAAGAAGGGCTCCGTAAGTAATGCCCAGAGATCTTAAATTTAATTTGTTTCCTTTTTATTGCATAAAGGTGCGTGCTTGAAAATGATAATAGAAAATGCCCAGTGTGACCCAAATCGTGGAAACAACTATCTGTATCTATTGCAAGTTTTGGAAGTGAAAGGGTCTGGATCAGGGGTTGAGATGATGATAGAGAATGGAATTAAAGAGTGGATTACAAAATGTAAACATAATCTCAGGATAAGCAATTTATTGGAAGCCATGAGAGTCACGGGATTCTCCGTAGCAAGAGGTAATTTTAAGTCATGACAGTTGTTTGTGTAACAGTTGATATTTTTCTTACCTTCTTTGAACTTATTTTGTAGAAAACATATTTAAAATTATGGGTGAGAATCCTATGCAAGTTGTCTTTGATCGCATGAAAGAACACGAAGAGGGTATAAAATATCCCGTGAAATTTGACATTCCGTTCTACAGCAAAACTGAGGACATTGCTATACTGGAAGTTGATCCGACAAATTTACCCCGTTTACCAATTGCATTTGCATTAGAAAGATCAATTATTGCGCCAGAGTCTATTCACATTGTTGGTTACCCAGCCTCACACGGAAGGAAACAAATATTTGACCCAAAGTGCCCTTTGATATTGGAAATGGAAGCTCGAACAACACTTGAGCAATGGAAAGTAATGTATCCCTGGGAGGATTTCCAAAATTTCAGCAGGGCCTGTGATTCTGCATTTTCCGGGAAAGAAAAAGTGCTGTTTCACTGTTCTGAATCTACGGCTCACGGTGCCTCGGGTAGTCCTGGACTGATACTTTCAGACGGTGACAAACCAAAAGTGTATCTCATGCTACAGGAAGGATTTCCGTCATTTGTGTACGGTAATAATTGTCAGGTAGATATCAAGACTGTTCCAAAAGAACTTCTTATTGAAAGTGGAATTAGCATGTCCAGAGTGTACTCACTACTCAGCAACACGCCGTACTTAGTAAACCTACGAAATGCGATTTTCCATACATGTACCTGAACATTTTGTATATAAAGATGTGATGTGGTGCTGGCGTCGAAGTGTTTTTTAAGAAAAGAGTTGAAAGCCCAAAATGAACAACAAACTAAAGTACATAGGTGCGTGAACTTCTGAGAAAAAAATTGTTAGAATTTTTGAGATTTTACCTCATTTTAAGGATATTCGTTTAATAACAAGAAGATAAAATTTCTGTGCTGTTACTTTCAAATACAATATGTAATACTTCAAATATATATGTTCAATTCTATATTCTGTTTTATTTGTTGGTTTCACTTAGAGTCAAGATAACAGACGTAAATATGTTCTTGTTTAATTCCATTTTTATCTCCATTTCGTCTTACCTTTAAAACAGCATATTTATATTTTTTCATGAAAATGTATTCTATAAGATTTTTTCATAAAGATAAAATTTGAGTTAACCTTTTCAGCAGGAAAAGAGTTAAGTGGAAAAATATAATTCTCTGTCCATCAAAACTAATTAAACTCACGCAATGTTTTTTAATCACGTAATTTGAGTGTCTTATAACTTTACCTATTTATCAATGACTTTTTTAAGCTTTGCATTTGAATTTTGATCAAATTCCTGCATACAGATTGTAGAAGTTTCTGTTAAAATCTTATCAATATTTATCAAACCTTTCCTTTCTTATCAACAGTTTGTTGTAATGGATTTTTTTACAAATATTGTGAATGAGATGATTTTATTTTTTTTTTATACTTCACTGAATAAAATGTAGATTTCCATATTCATGTATGAGAATAATGTACATATGTCACTGCAAATGGTGCAAGAGTGTTAAAACACATTTTGTGCAAATTTTCTCAGTCGAGCGCTGTAATATGTTTAGGGTATCTACGAGGGCCGTTCAAAAATTACGCGGACTTGTTGTACAGAAAATATATTTGACGACATAATCAAGCAAAAAGTCATAAATAATATAAAAGAATCTTTTCATATATGATCATCAAAATTTCAAATCAAAATATTGTAAATTGGTATAAATTTCAAGTGATTTAACAGGACATCTCATGAAGTCACGGCGCAGTAAAACTTTCAACGTCACGGGCATTTGAAAAAATGGGAGCTTTCATTTTCTCAATATTTCCCTTAGTATTTGATACTGTATAGTTTGGGTTACCTTATCCACTCAGAATAAACATCCATATACCATTTCCGATTCAGCTTAAAAACTATAAAACTATTATTGTGTGTTTTAGATTGTGTTAAACCCCAAAACTCCAGATATTTCTGAAGTAAAGTTTGACGTCAGTCGATCTCAATCACATTCTTAACAGCCCAGATCAGTGTTTTGTCGATGAACTTCTTCCATTCCTCTCGGATTACCTTTTGACTAAGGTCTAACAGTCTAAAATTCTTTTTTACATTTTGTAGAGATGTGTCGGATTTTCCGCTGGTTTACTACATGTTTCATTAGGATTATTTTGGGTAACTATTGGCTTTTTCTCAGCATGATTCATGATTTGATGAAAGTGCGCTGCTCCGTCAAATCACGAGACGTCATTTTTGCAGTTGATTCGTAGGGGTTACATCGGAGAAAAATTACAATATTTCTGTTAGTACTTCAAATATTACGCCAGAAATCTAAATACTTAATAATAAAACAATAAAAAGAAATTTTAGAGAAAATTGATGAATAATATCGTGAACTATAGAAAATAAATGAATAAAATTTTGGATACCGCATGTTTGTTTTTCAACATTTTTGCCTTGCTCCGTATATCACCATCATCAGTATCAAAACGGCAATAATTTTATGAGATATTAAATAAAATCAAAAATTTTACCAAGAATTTATTGGAATCTTTAAGAAATATGTTCCTGTGAAATTTCAATTCTATATGACGTCTGTAAGAGTAAATAATAGCAGAGTCCGCGTAATTTTTGAACGGCCCTCGTACTTGTAGTATTACTCATGTTCGTCACACTGATTTTCAGAATACTAGTAAACCTTTTTTTTTATGATTTTTTGTCATGGCAACAGAAATTAAGCTAAATGGTCTGTGTCATTCGATGTTTGAGATTACATAAATGAGTCTGATTTTGTTACAATCATCGATGTCTAATGGTATTTCTTTCTAGCATTTCAAAATATTATGAAATTGTGCCTATATTGAAACTTTTAATTGATTTGTCTACATTGTCTACAGGTTACAATCTATCTGTTATTGTGTTTATGTAATCATGAAAATAAACGAGAAGACAAACAAATATGTCTTAAATTCTTTAAGGTGTGCAAATTATATTTGTAGACCACCCAGTTTAAAGTTTTTGATAGATGTTAGTTGTCCTAAAAATACAGGATAATCGCTAATTATTGCAAGTTCTAGCATCTAGATTAAAACAAGAGACCTAGAGGCGTGATTATCACTGAGCATCAGACTATAATCGACTCAGGACCCGTATGGGACTGGAACTCTACCTTCCTGTGTCATGTATTCGGACTTTATCTTTATTAGGTTTGTCCATTTGATTTCTAAAGATATAAATCATTTAAAATATATCATCAACCTAGCAAAACCACGGACTGATTCAGACCACAAATAACAAGTTTAGGTTGAGGGGATACCGCTTACTGCCATCATGCATACAGCTGCTTACTAATTTTCATGGAATAAATAAGAAGGTACACAGTACAGTTTCAATAAAGCCCGACTAATCCACATCTTTGGAGTTTTGATACCGTGGAATTCCTCAAGAATAACCGTTTGTTATCACCAAGTTAAACAGTAACAATGTCCTCTTAGATGTACTTGTTACGATATCAATGATAATTCTCATTGTCTCTCTGCAGTAGACATTATCAGAGCGATTTGAATTTGCCCCTGAAATAATGTATTTTACTTCATGTTGTTGATTATATACTTCTGCATAAATTATTTTAAGCTGACATTTATTTCTTTATCTTGCATTCATTCAATATAATTTCGGTAAAAGTAAATTTTTTTAACAAAGGTTTTGCTCTGGAATTTGAAATATTTTAGATTGATTGCAGATCGGAAATCGGTGTTCTGCAGAAAAAAATGTAATAGTAAGTGTAGCCCTGCCGCTTTTTAAAAAGAATTGTCAAATTCCGATTTATTAATTCACCTGAGCCGAAATCTCAAGTGAGCTTCTCGTATCAAATTTTGTCAGATGGTCGTTTGTCCTCTGTCTTTCGGTCTGTAAACTTTTCACATCTTCCACATCTTCAGAACCACTCGGCCACTTTCAATCAAACTTACCACAAATCATACTCGGGTAAAGGGAATTCAAGTTTGTTCAAGTGTAGGACCGTGCCTTCTTTTAAGGTGAGATAACTGAAGAGTGTTGAAAATTTCATGGCATCTTTAAAAATTTCTTCTCAAGAACCATGGGGCTAAAAAAGATGAAACAAACTTGAAATGCTTCATTATGTAGTGTAGATTCAAGTTTGTTCATATCGTAACCACCGGGGGGGAGGGTGGGGTCATAAGCGATCAAAGTCTTACATAGAAATTTATAGGATTTAAAAAAAAATCATCTTCTAAAGAACAGCAAAGCCATGGTCAGACATATATATATGATATATACGTGAGATAACCATCGGCGTCGAAAGCAAGTTTTCATAACTTGCCTAGATGACCGAGCGGTGTAGCGCGCTGTTCCTGAACTGCTAGGAGACAGATTCCGTAGGTCGAGAGTTCAACCCCGGGTTGGGGCGGAAGTGCGTGTCCTTATAAAAGTGTATTTCCTTGTGCTTTCTATATTAATATTTCTTCACTTAGGACAGTTATGTTAGCTTGAAAGTAGTTGTAAAATGTGCTTAATATATGAAATATTAAATTCATTACAATGTGTATCGATAACGATCCTCTAATAAAACTAATGTCCAAATAACTGTATCTCACTTCCATTCTCAATGACCGTGTAGTGTAGGACAGCGCCGCGAGAATTCCATCGGCATCGAAAGCAAGTTATAATAACGTGCCTAGATGGCCGAGCAGTCTACCGCGCTGCTCCTGTACTGCTAGGAGATAGATTCAGTAGGTCGAGAGTTCAACCCCAGGTTGGGGCGAAGTGGGTATCCTTATAAAAGTGAATTTCATTGTGCTCTCTCTCTCTCTCTCTATATATATAAAATGAGCAATCAAAGTTTAACACAGGAGTGTATAGGCTTTTAAATGATTAAATTAAAAATAAATTTTAAAGGCTTCTTCTCAAGAACAACAAAGCCATGGTTATTTATATTTCTATGAAATCATCCTCAATTGCTGTAAATTCAAGTTTGTTTAAATCAGGAATCTCGGTGTAGGATGTGGCAAAAATTGGCGATCAAATTTTTAAATGGGAATATTAAGATTTTTTTTTTTCAAAAACAGCAAAGCCCTGAATATTCGAATTTGTATGAAAGCATCCTCAGTTTGTGTAGATTCAAATGAACAAAATTTTATAAAACTCAATCAGTACAAAGTGTGAAATAAAGAAATTATACTACTGAAACAGTTTGTCAATACAACTCCTCTTTATCCGCTGAACAGAATTTCATAAAGCTATGTTATAAATAAGGACATACATGTGGTGTAAAAATGAGCATGTTTACTGAAAATTCTTATTCGAGTTTTTTACGTGACGTCGGAAAATATTTAACTAACTTCAATTATACAGATGAGTAAACAAATTTCTATGAAGAATAGTCGAGCATGATTTGGCACAATTATTGCTAAAGACATCAACTGCATTGGAGCGGAACAATTAGCAATCATATATTATACAAAAACGATTTATCGCGTCAGGTTCTTTGAAAAAAAATCCACAGTCTTCCATACCCGAATTTGCTTTAAAAAAAGAGGATCAATCCTTCCTTGTTTATACTTGCACATACATATACTCTATATCAAAATTATCTATCAGTGCCCGTTGACTAAAGATATAAATGCAAGAATTGTGTTTTCCTCAGTATCAGTAGGCCATTCTAGAACATGAAAAGAGGGATAACTCTTGGTTTATTTCCAAGATTGAAAGGTGTTTACTGTCCTTCCGATTGTCTGTTGATTGTCTGTATATGAACCTAATTATTATGCATCTTAAAAGGACGTTTATACATAACTTCATATATTCATACTCATTACATATTCCAAAAACAAAGAGTTTAAGAATTTATTAAATATACTTTTCAAAACAATATAATGAAACACATAGATGAAAGATTGTATTATATTACGTCATCTTCGACAACGTCGCCATCTTTGTAACACATCTTGTGAGATCTTGATATTCAAAACAAATTTTACAGAACACAAATCACTAATCATATAAAAGGACAATATCTTACAAAATTTGCAATGTTAAATATTCTATCAACAAAACACAATGTTCTTTATTTTGTTAAACCAAAAATTTAAAATATTCTAAGCCTTAGCCTTTGTCAGTCCTTAAGCAAATGCCACTGTGCTACTTGTTGGCGAGGCTTTGTAATCATATCGTTCCAATGTCTTGTTTCCAGGGGACCACTCTTGCTGCTTAACACAATTTTCCCTATCATTTCGTTCCTTCCAACTTTATCGAAGTCCATCACAATCACTTCTATTGCAGCTTCCCGGATCTTTTCCCAAGGAATTTCAAAAAAGAACGACTCATTGTACACTGGATTAAGAGTTCGCATTTTAATTGATGTTTTCTTCTTTTCTATTCTGTTGTTTCCGAACTTTAACCAGAGCTTGACGTAGGGATCTACAAGTTTTAAAAAAAAATGTTTAAGAATTCTTAAATCGATTCATCTTGTACGAGCTTCAATAACATTTATTTCACATAAGACCAATGTTCACTAAACCTGTGCGGGAGAAAACGACAAAAAGTAAACAAAATTTTAAAAGGGGAAATCAACTCATGAAGTTAGTGCACACAGAAAAAAGCAAATAAGTGAAAATTTGTTTGGATATGAATACATTCTTAGATTCGCATAATCAAGCAATTTTAAGTGATTTTAAGGTTTATTGATATTCTCATAAGAGATGTAATCCTCAATTGGAAAAATTACTATTATATTCCTTTATAAAACTGTCAACTTGCCATTCCTGCCAACTTTGCCCCGCAGGTATGCAGAAATTATGTGCATTTTACTTATAAAGCAAATACCCTTTGCAAAATCATAAGCATTAAGGAAAATGTTATATAAGTTAGCAGAGGGATAAGAAATCTTAAATGTAAAACAAACAAGATGTGCTTGTGAAACACTGATGCCCCCGTATGGCAGCTTATGGCGAAGGCTAAAGTTTCTCAAATGGAAGTCAAACTCCAGGTCAAGAGATCAAAAATGTTGGTACTTAAAGAAAGGTCTTGTCTCAAGGAATATACTTGTGAAATATGAAAGCCCTAGCACCAACTGTTGAAAAGTTATGGCGAAAGTTAAAATTTTTTTAAAGTAAGTAAAACTTCAAAGTCAAGGTCAAATGGCGCCCAAGGGAAGGTCTTGTTACAAGTGATACACATGTTCATGAAATGTGAAAGCCCTAGAACCAAACGTTCAAATGTTATGGCCAAGGTTTAAGTTTTTCCAAAGTAGGTCTAACTCCAAGATCAAGGTCAAAGGGTCAAAGTTGTTGATATCCAAAGGAAGATCTTGTCACAAGGAATGCACATGTGAAGTATGAAAACCCTAGCACTAATTGTTAAAAAGTTATGGCCAAGGTTAAAGTTTTTCAAAATTAAAGTAGGTCAAACTCTAAGGTCAAGGTCACAAGGTCAAAGTTGTTGGTATCCAAGGGAAGGTCTTTTCAAAAGGCATACACATGTGTAGTATGAAAGCCCTTGCTCTAACTGTTCAAAAGGTGGCCAAGGTTAAAGTTTTTTTCAAAAGTAGGTCAAAGTTGTTGGTATCGAAAGAAAGGTCTTATCACAATAAATGCACATGTAAAGTTTGAAAGCCCAAGCACCAATTGTTCAAAAGTTATGGCTAAGGTTAAAGTCTCATAAAATTTTTCAGAAGTGGGTCAAACTCCAAGGTCAAGGTCAAAAGGTCAAATTAGATGTTGGTAGTTGAGAAAGGTCTTGTCACAAGGAATACACATGTGAAATATGAAAGCCATAGCTCCAACCAACCAAAAGTTATGGGCAAGGTTAAACTTTTTCAAAGTTAAAGTAGTTGAAACTCCAAGGTCAAGGTCAAAAGGTCAAAGTTATTGGTATCCAAAAGAAGGTCCTGTCACAAGGAATATACAAGTGAGTTATGAAAGCCATAGCACCAACTGGTCAAAAGTTATGGACAAGGTTATAGTTTTTTTTTCAAAATTAGGTCAAACTCCAAGGGTAAGGTCAACGGGTCAAAGGTCTTGGTATCCAAAGAAATATCTTGTCACAAGGATTACACATGTGAAATTTGAAAGCCCAAGTACCAACTGTTCAAAAGTTATAGCCAAGGTTAAAGTCTCATAAAATATTGCTAAATTGGGTCAAACTCCAATGTCAAGGTCAAAAGGTCAAATGTGATGATACCCAAAGAAAGGTCTTGCCACAAGGAATACACATGTGAAATATGAAAGCAATGGCTCCAACCATTCAAAAGTTATGGGCAAGGTTAAAGTTTTTGCAGACAAACAGACAGACAGACGGATGGACAGAGCAAAAACTATATGCCCCCAAATCTTCGATTACGGGGGCATAAAAAAAAAAGAAATATTCTGGAATCGAACCATGAGTTATACAGAAAAGCAATCGTTTAAACCACTGACTCACATTGTACTTTTGTTCTCAATGCCATCTAGCATGAAGATTAACATTAGACTGAACTTTTAAATTGAAACTATGATGTTCATAAATTTTGTGATGTTGAGCAACTCCTCCTTAATCAAACCAATCTTTCAAAGTTTTATAAGGACAATAATCAATTTAATAACTTAGAACCAGGCAAGCAAACTATAAAACCATGACCAATTTCAACACGTATGTACTATATTTTATAAAATTAATGAAGTTGTGTATGTGTTGGTCTTTTTGATATTATAAAATTATTATACAATGTATTAATATTCATTATATAAATACATGATTTACATTTTTATGATCTAAATAGATGTTTTAAATAAATGCAATAAAACAATGAAGAAATGTTAAAAATGAATTGCTGTAGTCTTTTCTTTAATGAATATCAGAAAAATCAAAACTATTTTTATTTTAAAAATTTCAAAAAAAATGTTCATGATATACATGTATCCATATTCTGTAAAAAATGTCCAAAATATTATTTTTAAAATTAAAACAACTGAAAGAGAAAATGCGCATTTTATTCTGACGTAATTAGAATTGGCTTTTTTTTGACACAAGTATAAAATATATGTATTTAAACATCTAATCATGAAAGTTCCTCTTATAAGTTAATGAGTCAAACAAATAAACATACGTAGTCAAAACAATCGAATAATATCCTAACTTTTAATTTCCATCTATTTATCAAATTGTTCGGTCCAGAAACAGTTTACATCTGTACTCCGACTCTGGAGCCATATGTAAGGAAAATAAAGCTTAACCTGCTCCCTAAACTTAGAAACAAAGCAGGGAGAAGGGTCCTTTATAATATTCTACTCCCAATTCTTTCTTTAAATACCTGAAGTTGAATGTTTTCGAGGGTCTCTTAAGTAATAAAACACTGCAATTTAGAACCAAAGAAATGTTGTCATAACTACATGTATACTGTAAAAATACAACATTGGTGTTTTAACATCTACACATCTATTTAATCTTACCTGATGCTCCCGTTATGTCTTTGGCTTTGAGATCTTTGCATTTCATTACTATAATATTCAATCTTCCTACAGCGGGCTGGTAGCTTAATGACAGTAGAATTTCTCCCAGTTTTCCCTGTAAAAAAGGTAAAATAATTTGAAGTTCACTCAACTGTGAACAACAATCATAAAAGAACCTTGTAATTTATGCAAGTTTTTATGAAAAGCTAGATTGTGTAATGTTTTTATTAGCAAAACGTACATGCACTTTAATATACATAATTGAGTAAATCGAATACATAGAGGAAATTCGAAAAATAAGTAAAACACTCCTTTGAGCCTGTAAATATTGTAAGGTTAAAGGTCACTTAGAAACAGGTATATGGTCACATATGTCTTGTATTAGTTGCTGTGTGTGGTTTACTGTTGAATCAATTAGTGTTTTATGCGTTAATATTAAAACCAGAAGTCTCTGATGAGACTGTAGCTCTTCTGGTTTATATTTGAAGCAAAGGAAGAGAAAAGTAGCACTTGCACTTAAAATTTTGCAACAGCAATAAATAGAATAATGATACTTGGTTTAGTCTCTTTTGGGGCAAGTTTTATTGCAATCAGACTAAATCTGTAGGAGGTGTAGCCTTTTCAAAGAATTTTACAGAAATTTCAATTTTAGTAACCATTTAGTAATTATTTGGCAACATAATTCATCAAAATAAAAAACCCCGATATCTTAGTGTAGTGTACTTGTGTGCCAAGCTATATCAAAATCAGACCAAATAGTAGGAGGAGTAGTGTTTTGAAAGCACTTCAAAGAAATTTCTAAATTTAGTAACCATAGAAGCACTTCATCAAAATCAAAAACAGATGCAAAGAATTATGTATCCCAGTGTAATCTACTTGTGTGCCAAAAGTTATATTGAAATTAGACCAGAATTGTAGAAGGAGTATCATTTTGAAAAATTGTTTACAGATGGGCAGACAGACAGACAGATGGACGGACGATGGACACCTTACTATCGCATAAGCTCTTCCAGTCTCTGACCAGTAGAGCATAAATTGGTCCTAGGAATTAAAATGATTCCATAATTGTTCAAAAGGAGTTCATAAAAAGAAGGCAAAAAGGACATTTAACTAAACTAGTTCTTGTATGAAAACTTCAATCTGAATTAAGTCGACTACACATACACTTTAAATAATTACCAAGCTTTTACAAATAATCTACAGTTTTTACCCTGCTGTCCTTGCATGGCTGAAGGTACCGCCACATCGTAGGAGACTGTGAAAGATCTACTTCATTAAGGGGAATGTAAGTTTCACCGATAGGATCATCACGACTAAATCGGTCATAGTCTATAACTTGTAGATATATTGTCTTCTCTAACAATTTATTATGAGGCCAACCTACAAAGGAAGTCAAATACATTTAAAAAGTAATGGGAAAAAAGTTTTCTATAGGAGAGAATGCAAAACAATACTTTCTCAACTGTTAATATTCGCAAAAAAAGTAACTCATCTCAAAAACATTATTAAAATGAATGTTTTAAAAGCACGGCAGTCTACATATGTACTTCATTGGGACATTCTATTTGCCTTTTCTTCTGTATAAATGATGTGCTATGAATATTTGATATAACAGAGGTCACAGCACTTCACTAAATCACCTGGTCCTTTTGTTCTTCAGGAGATTTTTGAAACTCTTTTCCTCTTCCGTATCTTCTTATGTAAATTTTGAACAAATATTGCGGTATCACCCTAGCCCTCCATGGGGGAGGGGGGGGGGGTTCATGACTTTACCAAAGTTAAATTAATAGTACATTGGAATGTAGAATGTTTATAAACTAAAACTATTGTTGTCTTGCTGCTATGAAGACGGTTTTTGATTTTTTTTTTCCCTATTAAGACGACTTGCTTAGTATGTTAGATTTGATCTCTTATTTCAGCCCAATCAAACCTAATGTTCGATATCGTTACAAAGTGAACTATAATCCATTCAAGAAGAGATTTGTAACACACTTTCATATATATCTTGATACCCTACTATGCCCAATCCTACCCTTTTGAGATATTATCTGAACAAATTTTAATTTACACAACCTGGGACTGCTTGCATATCATCAGTATGATAAATTTTAGACCTGGTGATTTTCAATATTTTTTTTCTGATGATAAATTATACTTTGACCCTATTGTAGCCCAACGCTAGCCCCATGCCAATAACTTGAATTCCTAGATGAAACATGACAGAGAGTCGTAATTTCTTCGGCTTAAGCCTTTGGCTCATATGAGCTAGGAAAACATAAAAATGGTACGGAAAACAAATTAATAAATATTTTAAGCATTGCGATAACATAGCTTATCTAACAAGTGAAATCTGTAAATTTTTACTCGAGTTTTTATGTGTTACTATCTTATGTATAAATGTCTGTACAGAAATGTATTTAAATGTGTTGTTACAAACCTTCGAACAGAAAACTTTCATTCCACCTTGGATTGAGGTTTTTCTTCTTCACTTTTGTCACTAACTTATGTCTTTTATCAGGTAAAAGTAAAATTTTTACGTAAGGGTCACTTGTTCCCGTGAAATCCTTGGCCACCAAGTCTTTCGCTTGAATCACTTTTAAAGTTAATGTTAAAGACTGAAAATCATAACTTAATCCTATCTGTATGCGTCCTAGTTTACAATCAACGCCTTCCGTGACATCAATAGATGCCGCAGCGTCCACCTCTTCTGCGTCTTGTGACGCATTCTCCATTAAAGTGAAGGCAATATTTCTCATCCCTTTCCATAAACTGCTGTTGACGTCATCAGAACTCTGGGATCTTTGAGAATCGTTCTTCATAAGTGGCTGTAATCAAAAATCATATTAAGTTTATTTTAATCAAACATTAAGGTATTTGAAAGGACTTAAACCATATTTTCAACTCTAATTTTTATGATGTTTATTGGACTTAATTTTCTATAATTTATATAATATCATTTCGAAGGGTTTTTCAAAAGGGAGGGGAAGGACATCCTTTCCCAGCTGCAGAACTTCAGCGTATGGCTTTAGATTTTAAGTACGTGCCGCGATAGAAGGGGGGTCGGGGTCCGGACACCCCCCCCCCCCGAAATTTGCAGTTAATAAAAGTATATACTGAAGGAAATAAAAAATTAATTTGGACCCCCCCTCCCGAAAACCTGGACCCAACTACCACTATCGCGAAATAGAATTTGTCCCATGTTTTGTAAATGGAATTTTAAGTTTGTCTTTGTTTGGGGGGGGGGGGGGTTGTCAAGAAATTTTTGGGTTGGAAATATTTGGGACCGGGGTGACCCCCCTTCCCCCTCCTCTCCGGAAAAAAAATCCTGGATCCGCTCCAGTTAGTCTTTGACCATAACGGTTATTATGGTTAAAGACTAAAATATAAAGCCATAACGCTACAGCTCTGCTGCTAATCCTTTCCGTACTTTGGATGTAAAATCAATTATTGAAGTTGATACGAGTTAAATATTTACATTCTGGAAAAGATTGAATCTTTTATTAATAATTTCTCCTGAGATTTAAGTTACATGTACATGTAATCGTTTCATTTAAGGTCTTTAGAGAGCATATATGTACATTAGAATTATCCCCCTATATGGCACAAAGTGACAGAAAAACACAAGCGAGATAATTCTATTTGATATGCTGTTTTTTACATATAAATGAAGCAGACATAGCTTATAACGTACTTTACTTCATGCATTACTACATGTGTAAATGAATTTACCAGAATTTATAGCACATTTCACTTTGATGATTTTGATTTATAAATATAAGCTGCTTAATACCATTATATAAAGCGCTTAATTCTGGTGCTTCCGTGCCAAATCAACATAAATTCCCATGCATATCAAATACAGTACATAGCCTTAATTTATGACAGAGAAATCCATACAAACGCAGCGGATATAAAGGACATCATGTCTTTGTTTTTCAAATGAAACACGCTTTTGACTGGCATTTTAGTGAATTATCTATTATTTCGTTATGTAACAACATAAAAACAGGATTTTTCGATTTGTTTCATTGACAGCAGGGAGATATAGACATTGTTTTCACTCATCTAACTTGTATCTCCTAGCGGCAAAACAGGAATGAAGGGCAGAGAACCCAGTGCTGCTCAGAGAAGATAAAAAAGATCCCAAGGCTTTCAGAAATTTCGGATCTCATACTATTACAGTGATTCGCTTGCGATTACTTTAACTTTTGATCGATCTGTGTACATGTAACATATACATACATGTATTTGCTACTGAAATTGATAAAAAATTAAAACAATGTAACTTTCTTCTATTAGCATAGACCTCCTTTCTCCAGTTAAATTTAAATCAACCATACTTGGGTTACAATTAAATAAATTTTATCAGGCTAAATGAAAGAAATTATTTCAAAACTAGCACTTAACTTATTTGGGACAAAATCCTAACAGTAATAAATGAAAAAAAAATGACTTTAATGTTAAAAAAACCCAAACTTTGTTTTGGTTGTTTCTTTGCTTTTTTATCACTTGCTCTAGTAATTCCTGTTGAGTGTATGTACAAGCATGCCATATGTGTCTTTTTATATGATATATAAATACGTAAAAATATATCAAGCTTGCAAGACATATATAAGGCTTTCTTTTTCCTTTTAATTTTCAACCAAATAAATCTTACTTAATATAAATACATACAGAAAATCAATACGTTATTCTCATACTTCTCACTCTAACTGTTATTTTATCGTTATTTTGTAAACATTATTAACAGAAATAATTGAATATTGATTGTAAATTTCTCAGAAGTCGCGGCTAAATAACGTTAACATCTAATTACAATCTGGTCGATTTCTACACCCCATGCGTATATTGACAAGCTCCTTATATCGCCCGGCTTTGCTTATGTAGTAGCAGATGGTCAACAGTACATAATAAATTACAGTGGATACCTTTTAAATTACTTTCACTGGAAACCCATAAAAAATTAGTTTTATTTACATTATAAAATGTAAATAACCCATTCCTTTCAATATATGTGTCAAGTTATATCAAAAACTGGCTGACAAAGAAGCAGCCTATAACTTGTACGTGTTGAACGTGTATCCGTGGAGAGGAAATATACACTGACACACAAAAAAAAAACCGCAACATGGAGAGATCCGGATATTTTTTATTTAATGATATTCATAACTTAAGACAGATTTTATCAGTATGAGATGACGTGATTTAAAATCGGAGATTTAATTGAAATGGAAAACGTTATCTTTTAACTTCAGAAATGAACAGGTTACCGTTTATAACCACCCCCCCCCCCCCCTTTAACAATCCCTAGGTAATGAACAACTGTTGCAGCTCGGTTTCTACGATGCATTTAATCCATTTTTCAGACCTTTTAAAATGTCTGTTTCTCATACACTAATGTTTGATTCCTCGATTCTTGCTCAAAGTGGTAACCTTTAGTCTCCCGGTCTACAGGCTGTCAGTCAAGCTAGTGAGACGCAAGCCCATGGTGTGATATAGAGCGTCTTTTTTCAAACTACGAACAATTGGAATGCACGCTTACAGTTATTTTCTGGAAGCTTTTGCGTCACTTTCGGAAAAGAATTTTGGAACAATGCTGTATTACTTGAGATGAACAGAAACCAACTCTTTTACACCCAAATTAAAGTCCTTTTTTGCTAAAAGTGCAATATTTCCGTTTAATCCGACTCGGATTTTGGTCTTCAATTTAAAATACGACTAGGTAAAGTTGAAGGTGCCTGTACTATTATGGTACTTTGTTATACTCTATATCTATTTTTTCTATAATATAATAGACTATTGAGTTTCTCTTGCGTGTCAGTATACATGGATTGCAGAAAAGTGTGCAGAGAAAAAAAAATGCTATAGAATGAGCTAAAATGATGAAACATGAATATAGTAAAGCACGGTTACAGCGAACTGGTTTGTAATGAATTCACGCTTACAGCAAAACGATTTTCAATTCCTGTAGTTTTAAAAACAAATGAACGGATCTGACGAATTTATAACGTTTATAACGAATCAAATTTGTTCGTAACTGGTACTTCGCTATAAGCGTGTTTTGCTAATAATATGCAGGTAAACAAATTTCAGGCATATGTATCATACAGTTTAATATAATCGTTCTGTTTAATCTTAGACTTTGTTCGAAACTATTGAAAAGTATAAATGTTTCTCACTATTAGCTCACTTAAGTAACACACTTATAAATCAAATCGCAACGAAGGAAAGATTTCAGCTAGATACAATCCTTTTGGAATTATCGATTAATGGTTATATAAGATAAAATGCACTCGATCCGTCTTCAACGGTGTTAAACTTACATAATATAAATTAATGACGGGGAAGTCTCACGTAATACTAGCATAGCAGAGTTAGTTCAGGACACACTGTTAGGGATCAGAATCATGTGTCTGTGGGCTGCGCAAACGTTTTTGCTGAACATTTAGTTACCATTAGTTTTCATTTTATTTAATTATATTATAAATGTCCATTTCAAAAATTAATATTCATTTAAACATAATGATTATGCGCCAACGTCTTTTTTTATTATTCATGAAGAACTGTACCTGGTTTACGAAAAAGCTAATCGCTTTATTTTCTTTTTTTAAATACATTTTTATTCTGGATTACGGGCTGAGAGAATTCCCCATTACAGTAATACATGGTCATAAAAGTTCTTAAGGAAATCTTCTGTAGATTATAGGGAAATCCAACAGAACACTTTTCACCATGTTTCTTGTGTGGATATAAAGAATCGACATTATAAGGAGCCAAATTCAAGGTCTCAGTGACTTTCTTATAACTGCGTTTTACTGTTATATGATTTTTTCAGCTAACTTGTGAAATGAACTGTTTGATCTTTAATTTCAGTGAGAAATATAGATATTTAAGTAAACTCTTTCTAGGAACTATTCGGAAAAAGAATTGGGGACAAAGCTGCCATATCTGTACTTTTTTTCTTTTGAAAGCTTATACGTCGCACACTGGTATTATATGCACAAAACAAATCCAACATTCAGATAACCTTTTAAAATTGAAAGTGGAATTTTTTCTTAGGTTGCGTCGAGCACAAAAATGCTATTAACTACATAATTTCAAATGCATATAAACAACGAAGATTGCCGCTATCTTTACGTATGGTTAAGCTTAAATTATAGAAGCAAGATTAAAGAATCCTTTTTGCCTTTTTAATGTCCTGAGTTCATACAAATAATAAATAACAAACAAAACCAGATTGTAACAAATACATTCTCTTTGAAAGGAAAACAACAGGAAGCGAGGTATTTTCTACCTTTCAACCTTAATTTCTACGTTTTTTTTTTTTTTTTTTTTTTTTTTTTTTTTTTTTTTAAATATACAAAAAATATACAAAGGAAATTGTACGCAAGGTATACATCCAAATGAAATAATTCATTTTCCGCTGAATTCATGTTCATATCAATACACATTATTCTTTTTTTCCCTGAATGCACTTGTCAATAACGGTTTAATTAATATTTTCGAAAACTTACATCTGTTTTAGCTTTAGCAGTGAAAAATTTGTGCAGAAATGGATTACTTCTATGTAAAACTTGTTACAATTACATACTTACGAAATTCTAAATGTTATCAAAAATTTTCTTTGGTATATTACAAACTTTTAATGATATGAAAATAAAATAAAATAAAAACAAAGGGCACTGCATAGGAAACAAAGTATGGCCCGTCGTAATAATTGCGAGCAAATGATTGATTCTCTATCCAGATTTGTCTTCCGCTACGCTCATACACCTTGTACAAGATTCTTGTACAAGATTGAAATTGTGAAAATTTGAAATTAGTA